TACTCAACCCTAGGTTAACAAACTGCAGCTTTGTGCAGCCAGGTCCCAAACCAGATTTCTGTAGAAAACAATAAATATACTCATACACATTATCCCCAGCACATTTGAAATTAAAAAAAAAAATCTGATTTAAAACTATATGTGTACTCTTCCAATATAGTGACCTCTCCATTCCTAAGTCATAATCATACAGATAAGGTTAGCTGCTTTCATTGCTTTTAATAAGTGTAAAACTTTACTAATGTTTTACTGTAATCAATTAATGTGCTATAATGGGATCTACAGCAATATTATAATTACAAGTCTAATTAATTTCCATAGTTCTTTTCAGACTGCCCCATAACCCCTATAAATTTATTTCGGATTTATGGAACTCATCAGAAGAGAGGAAACAGCGGGTTTGGAATCAATTAAAAATAAAAAAAAACTTTCTGAATTTATCCTGAGCAAGTCTCTTCTGCATGGTCAACTTGTTTTGTGAACAGAAATAATCCTTCTATATGAAGAAAAACTCAAAACCAAATAATTATATACTGTATAAGCTGTTCTGAAAATGTGAAGAAACAAAAGAGGAACACTAATATTACACATCTAATCTGATCATGAAAACTGCCTCAAGTTGAGTTCTATTCCTGGTGACTCTACAGACAATAGAACAGAATAGCTTCTGCAGTAATAACAATTGCTATGTTTTCACCAATAATTGTTGCCTTCATCTTAAAGCCAGCCTCTGATCATTTTTCTTCTCGAGAAAGAAAAAAACCACCCAAGAACAGCTAATATTTAACTTGTGTCAATCTGTCAGTAATTTTCAACAGAACATAACCTGCAAAAGAATTCATTATAAGTGTTTCATTCCATTAAGCACAACTAGTTTACTGTCAAGTGAACAACCCATCTCTCCATATTTCAAGTTCACTTTGGCATTCTGCATTTAAACAGCATGGATCAGTGGTTTGCTTCATTTACCAATGAAGGGAGAATATTGTAAAGTTAACAAGGTGTTTCATTGAGTCTCATGAAATTTTAACATCAGACTATGAAGGATCGATAGTAGCACATTCAAACAGGATTGAATTCCTTTAAACAAATTCTTGATTAGTTCTGTATCCTTCTTTCATACATTTTTAACTACAGAGAACTATACTTTTAAAAAACTTATTCACACTTCTAATTATTTATATCTTTTACCTTGTTTTCCCAGATAAAGAAAATACGCTCAAAGCAATGTATAAATGGAATATCATTGGTTATAGATATTTAGGAAAATTCATAGCATATTTAGATATCCTTTAGGGATCTTTTTTTCTTGATTTAAATATATGTGCCAAGGAAAAAAATCTTCTCCAATTTCAAGTCCAGTAGATATGCTGGATTTCAACTACTAGGTTTCAACTCTAAGGAGAGGAGTCTGAAGGGCAGCAGATTATGGAAGACCCCCTTAGCTAAAAATCTAAAACCTAACTATTTCTAAAAGTAATTTTGGAGATATCCGCCAGAATAGATTTACGGATGCAGTTTAGAGAAGATAGTAACTGATTCTAAAGCATAATTTTCATATGAAAACATACCAAGCTATATACATCTAAGATCATACACTACAGACTCCCAGTTTAAAACAATGCCCAGTTATTTTAATGCCTAAAAATTAGAGTGAAGCTAAACTTGTACTTTCATAACTTATGCTGAAAAGAACTACATTACAATGACATTTAGCAATTTCTTTTATCCAAATAATATTTGGATAGATGTAGTTTTATTAGTTAATGAAAACTAATTGGAAAATTATTCATCTGCTGGTCTCCCTATTGGAAAGTAAAGACATATAGCAAAACTTGTTCAGGATTCTATACAATCTACTCTACCTGATTCATCCCCTTCTTTCTAAGGGGCACTTCAGAGGACATAAAGGTTATTTTCCCCTTGTTTGTATTTTTTAATTGACTGCTGATATTTTCTCATGGTCAGAAGGATAGGAAAAAGTCCTCCAAACAGCTTATTAAGAAAAACAAGTCTTGCTTTTACAGTACCGTTGGCTATGATTAGCGAGCACTCCTAATTTCTTGTTAAAAGTAAGAAGCATAAATGAAGGAATATCTTCACAACAGACTGATTATTCACCAACTCTTATCCACATCTTCACTCAACAATTTGAATTTTAATGAAAGTAAATGGAATAATTAGCATTTCAAAGTGTGTTTGATATGCTGCATTTTCTAAAAGAGCGACTTTTCTGTACGTTCTGTATGGGAAAGGAAAAATACAAGCAGAAGAAAAAAACAAAGGCACAATACAATGGTCTTCATTACACTAACAGCCAGCCCTAACTGAATAATTACAGACATCAATAATGGACTATTATTTATTTTTCTTCCCACCTGTATTTTATGATTCTTCTGAATAAGGTTTTTTTCCCAACTTGGTACTAGTGAGTCACACAATATAATGAAAATAAAAACCCTAAGAAAACCATTCAATGTTGTTTAACAAGTCTAACTAGGACAAGCAACTCCATCCCAAAGCAAAGTGGTTGGTAAGTGAAATATCATGTGATCATCCTGTTGAACATATTACAGCAGTCCTAGTTGTTAAGGGGATCATCCACAGTCATTAAACAAGAGATCATTTGATCATGACTTGTGACTTCCTGCTGGTTTCCTCACTGACTTTGTTTATCTGAAGCTGGCTGGGAAGACTGCAAATAGAAATCATATCATTGTGGGAAATATTATAAATGTGTTATGGTTTCTGAGCATCCAAATTGCAATCAGATGACCACGAGGATGCTGCTATAATCATAAATATAATAACTGGTCATAAGTCACATTTTTCAGCACCATTGTAACTTCGAACAGTTGCCAAATGAATGGCCATTAAGCAAGGACTCTCTGTATTAGCCAAATACTATTTCTCATGCTCTGTATATAGAAGGAAGCTTTTTTGGCCACATATGAATAATAACAGTTCACACTAAAGTTAATATATAAGGTTAAAAATCTCATCTAGTTGATCCTAAAGTTAATCATGCCAGTTCTTAAACAATCAAAAGTCAATATAAACATAATGGCAAATGGACACTAAGGACGATAGTGCATGGAAGTATATTCTGAAGACCACTTACTTCAGAGAAAAACTGATGATTTTCAATGAAATGTCCAAATAGTACTCCAGCGGGGTAACAGTTCTAAGTTGTTGCTAAAGTTCTGGTTACAACTGAACAATATCCTATATAAACTGATTTCCCCTTGGGGCCTGGGGTTTTTTGTGTTATATTGAACACACTGTGCAAATCTTCTCAACCTCTAGGACTTATACAGTCCTTTAATATCATCTTTAGGGACCTCTAGAATCCTTCCATAATGGGTAGGGCCAAAAGGTTTGGCCTTTTTTGTTGATTTGCACTTTTTGGCTCTGAAGACGTTTAAAGGAACATTTTCAAATGTTTAAGACACCCCTTTTACTCTCTAAACATCTCACTTTCCACAAAACAGGCACTTATTCTGTCCATCTTAGAAGTGCACCTTTCAACCTGTTGCATAAAATTAGATGTGGCCCTTTCTCCAACAAATTGCATGCTGGTGATTTGGATGTAATTTTCAAACGCAAATAGCTGAAATTCCAAGAAAACTTACACATACACACATATACACACAACACACACACACACACACACACACACACGCATGCACACACTTCTCCAATCCAAAGTCAATTAGATATGGCTATATAGTCCAAAGTATAATTATTTTACAGCAATGTAACCCACTTATACAGGAAGAACCACTATCATGCCAAATTACAAGAGGGCATAAGGCCTGATTGTAATGAGGGATAAGTTAAAATACTTAATTGTATGATTCCAGATAAATAAAAGAATACAATTCAAAGTTGCAATATGCTTTCCTGCAACATCCTAATAAGACAGCCCAGCCATTTACAGCCTAATGGGCTTAGAATCATTGCTCTACGGGTTTTTTTGGCACATCAAACTTTTCCTACTAAGGTCCATGTTCTAATTCTTCCTCTGTGTGTGTTTAATGCACCTTGTGAAAACTGTTAGGCACACAGAATATGACATGTTTGGGAAACCTTGTCTGAAATGCATTAAAGATCCTCCACAGATGTTATTTTTGGACTTTTTTCTTCATTTACCAAAGGCATCCACAGCCCTAAACAACTTGTGCGGGCGAAGAAAAAAATTAGTCTGATCTGAGGGCCAAAATACACAGATGCATTTTCTGTAGCTGATAGTTTGTTCCTCTTAGAAGATGTTGTCTTGCATTAATGTTTTATTATGCTTTGACATGGAATTTTTACAGTTAGCCACCCTGAGAGTTTTGGCTTGAGCAACAGATTACAATTTGAAAAATAAATGGATGATTGAATGCAGAACATGAGAGACACAAGGCTTCTGCAAATCCACTTATCTTATACAGGATCTTCCATTGTGAATCCCCCTGCATGTTCACATTGCTGCATTTCAGATTGATATCACAACTGACGCTTACCCTGCTCACAAATGTGGATACCTCAGGTAAATAAAGATGAATATATACACACACACACACACACACACACACACACACATACACACATACACACACACACACACACACACACACACACACATATCCCCTTAGATATACATCTAGCCAACAACCTCGGTGGTGTAGATCAATACCAAATTAATAATCATTTTCTGAATTTATACTCATTTATAAAGCGCAGCTTGAGGAAATGAAGTGAGACATGGTCAATGGCAGACCTGATTGCAAAATGGAAGTCCGGAAGTCTCCACTGTCCAGGCTATGTTTGAACAAAAGGCCAATTTGTTGCAAGTGCAGCAGTGCAATATAACCAAATTATTAAGTCCAATGGTTTCTAATGCATTATTATTATTACTACTATTACCTAGGAGGACTAACAACAAAAACATTGTTTGGGTAAAAAAAAAGAATGTGAGCTAGTTTTTAAAAGACTAAAATGGAAAGACCACATACCCCAATGATTGCGTTCAGTTCTGCCATGGTCACTTGCTTGGCACGTTCCACAGCCTGCACCACTTGTTGCTGGTGCTATAAATGAAGATCAGAAACAGAATAAAATTATTTGCTTTCTAGTGAATTAAGCATAGTTTTTTCCTAATTCCTTTTCCCTCCTCTAAAAATAAACTAAAAACTGCATGCAGGCTTGAAGTAATATGTGCCATAAACAGCAAGAATTCTAGGTGGACTAATCAGATTTACCTCCCAGACAGAAAACTCAGCTAACTCAATAGAAGCAACAGCAATCAACCCTTTACTCCAAAAATAATTGTCTTGGGTTGCAATAACAACTATCTAGGCTGAAGACAACAGTATACTGTGAACAAAACAATGTGTTTGGAAAGGAAGAAGTGTGTTAAACCTTCACCACCAGTTCATGATTAGGAAAACAACCGCCACCCCCAAACAATGCATTAGTTCTTATTCTCTGCTATTCAGATATCTGCCTGCTTCTTCAGCTTTAATATTGTTCAATTTGTTCCAGCCTTGCTATTATTTATGCAACAAAGGAATTAATCAAGAGCTGAAGCAACTGAAAGGCAAGGAAAATAGAGAGAAATGGAAGAGCAAGAGAGCATAGCTTAAACATCCTGACATTCTGAACGTTAAACTTGCTATATTTAAGATGATTACAACCGTAATTCTAACTCAGAACACAGCTATTGGACACTTCTTGAAGAAGCTCAGCTACATTTACATGTAGAATCTTTGCTCACTTTTCAATTGTTTTGGTCTCTGTTGGATATAAGTTATCCATTTTAAACATGTTTCCCTGAAATGTATACAACTTACTAACCAAATAAAATGTTCAGATGTTCAAAATGTTTTGAACATGAAATGCTCAAAATTCTCTCTCTCTCTCTATATATATATGGGAATTAGCCTTAAAAAAGTGATGAGTAACCTAAAGTTGAATTGATGTGGGATTATTAAATATTACTTCGTTTTAACTCTCATGAGTTCTGCTACCTTCCAAGAACTGCAGAAACTACAGTTTTGTAAGGAGTCTGACAATATTGTGATAAATAATTTTAGTTCCACTAAAGAACTACAGTTACCTCTCAACTATGGTTAAGAGCTGTGGTGGGATTCAATTTTTTTTAACTACCGGTTCTGTGGGCGTGGTTTGATGTGCGTGGTAGGGGAAGGATACTGTAAAATCTCCAGTCAGAGGTGGTATTTGCCGGTACTCAAAATTTCTGCTACCAGTTCTCCAGAACTGGTCAGAACCTACTGAATACCACCTCTGGTTAAAAGCCATAACAGACAGACACAGTTTGTTTCATAAAGATCAGTTAGAAGCACCATATGTTCAGTTAGAAAATGTGATTTGATGCTCAATATTCATCCAACAGCTAAGAAGAATATTTCACAAAACAGACTCAAAGCCTTACAAGACCAGAACAACATTAGGATTTTCATCTAGGGAACAATGTTTCAAGGAGAACGAGGGATCTAGCTAAACTTATAAAAGAAACAAATTTTTCCATCAGCCAAATGCTAAGATAACTTCACTTTTGCCCTACTATCACCATCAGAAAAAAAGAAGGAAGGCTTAAGTCTTTTAAGAAAAGAAGCAACTGGGCATATGGCATCCTTATCAGATACGTTGAGAAGAGGAATAATGAATTGCTTTATATGTGAAGGATCTATTGCACTGCAAAGATCTACAGCTCTACTACCTTCAAGATTTTAATAGAAATACTAAGCCTGTTGATTGCCTACTTTGCCAAAGAGGCAGGAGGAGCCATTTCTCTTTCTCGTGAGGTATTTCTACATCTTGGGTCCTGCTTCTATTTATTTCTTGTTCATTCCACATCTAATTTCCACACAATTGTACTGATTTTTACATATTCAGCTTTCTGAAGTTTCTAATTATCATCTATTATTTGTTAGAATTCTTTACTTACTTTCCTCCACCCCCAATCAGCAACTTCATTTTTTGTACTATAAAATGGAAACTATAGATATTTTAATATTTTAGCAGTATACATTAGTCAATGAGATGTATAAACACAAATCGTTAACAAGCACAATGCTTGAATTAAGAAAAGCGCAAAAAAAAAGATTGACAAAATACTATGTAAAATCCTGCCAAGATGACACGGCAAGATTAAGGCTGACCTTTGTTGCCATGGATTGTCATTTTGTTCTAATAAGGAAAGCATTCTATTTTTTTTAAGACTGCCCCTTCGGTTTTTATTATTTCTTGGTCTCTTATTTTATTTACTCTCATTTTGTTCTTCATATCTTCTCTTTATATTTGTATTCCTTTCTAATCTTGGCACTATTTTTGTCTCTAATTTCCACCTTTTAGTTTAATAATTGTATTGTTTTTGATATTATTTTTATCTTACTGTGAGGAACAAATCTCTACTTACACATTAGTCAAAGTTGGGAAATTGGTTCAACAGTTGACTGCATGTCAATACAGGGCCATAAAAAGTCTCATCCCCAGGTAAAATGGAAGAGATGTAGACATATCCTCAGAACCTAACAAGGAATCTGAGTTTCTGACACTAGCTCACTTCTGCTTTCTGTCCGCAGCTCCGAATCAAGGAGATAGAAAGAAGTAGAGATACAAGATATAGAAATAAACATGAAGATATATAATTTGTCTCAAAAATTTTATAGGTGTTCCAAGAGACAGCAACGCTTGTCTAAAAGCTGTTTGAGACACAAAAATAAGCAAATATAATTCCAAATCTGATGGATGTTCCATAACCATACCTCCTAAGGCAAGGTGGGCAACTATGGTCCCTTTAAGATCTACGGACTTCAACTCCCAGAATTCCTGAACCAGCATGGCTGGCTTAGAAATTCTGGAAGTTGAAGTCTACATATCATAAAGGGGCCATATTTGCCCCAATGTCCTAAGGCAATGTTTTTCATTGTAGGCAACTTCAAGGTGCCGGTTGGCTCAGGAATTCTGGAAGTTGAAGTCCATGCATCTTAAAGCTCCCAGTATATTCCTAGATACATTGGGAGTTTTAAGATGTGTTGACTTCAACTTCCAGAATTTCTCAGCTAGCAGGCATCTTGGAGTTGCCAAGGATAAGAAATAATCTCCAGATACTGTCCTAAGATGCAGCGCATGGCAAGTCTATTTCTCTCCATCATATTTAAATGATGAAATAGGAGACTCTCCTCTCTATTTGCATATTCTAAACTGGAAAAAAAGTGTTAGAAATTAAGGCATAGATCAGAAAAAAATGAGAATAATCTTGGTCAGCTCGCAAAATCAATGTACTGCATGTGGAATTGGTAAATGCTAAAAACATAGAAATATTTCTTTTCAGATCAGGAATAGTTAACAAACAAAATCAATATTGTATGCAAATGCCAAAACAGCAAAATAAAGATTCCTCAGTAATATATTTGCTAATTCATTCACACAAATAAATGCCCTCAAGTAGTCTACTTGCATACATGGTAGACACACCATGCAGCAGTTATTTGTACAAAAAAGCCGATGGATAGAGCTTATAAACCAATAATTATTGAGTGTCTGCAAATAAAATAACATAGATACAGCAGACAAATGAGAAATCTGGTAGAATAATGAAAAACAATGAAATGCTATTATTCTAGAGAAGACTGTTTTAGAAAAATAGATCTTTTGCAGGGGCATTGCACTGTATATAAAAGTAACTACCTTACAGGAAATATATTTATCTAGAGAATTCATCAAGAAGAAATTTAGACACCCCCTCCCCAAAAGCATATAATATTAGAGTTGTACAATTATGCCTCATTCAGTATTGTTGTTTCCAAATAAGGTTAAAAAGAAAGAAAAATAGGGAAATAGGAAAACAATGGTGGGCCTGAAGCTAAACTAAAGTTAGTCTAGGCCTAGGTCTATTTAGGCAGAACACTACCAGGGAATAATACAAATGTAAACAATATTGGGAAAGTGGGAGGAAAAGAAACATCCTGAAAAAGGCAATAAATATATTGCCATTTCTGTTACCCAGAATATTACATGAATATATCCAAGAGATCACCAGGAATGTTCATAGTTATTCTGAGTCAAGTTGAGTTTAAAATTTAATTAAAATACAAAACTTCCAGATATAAATTAATCATATTTAATTTAATCTTAAGCAATTTCAAAGAATTGATATAAAACTACATACATACAGAAAGTATTTAAGTAAAATGGAATTCCACAAATGCAACCAATTGCCAATGAAGGTTAAATAGTAAGAAGGCAGGCACATTTAAGTTGGAGACATCTTGCCTTGATTCTAGAAATTCTAACCTTACCAAAACTCGAGCAACTAGTTTAATACAAACAAAAACCTTCATATAAATATTTGCTGTTAACGATGTTGCATAAAATTTCTTTTCTTTTTTAACCCATATTTACCAGCATCGCTGGAGGATAAAAATAAAGGTGATACAAATGTATTATTTAATTTTGCTATTGTGAGATGGTAGCCAGGCATTCCCTGTAATCATAGTGCCACTGTTTCCCAAAAATGATCCCTATTGTTATAAATACTGTAATTGCTGGTTCCTTCATCTTATGCTTTCATCTTGTCCTACCTAGCTTAACCACACCTACTACTGGTTATGTCCACACCTGAAAAATAGTGTTTAAGGCCCCCTCCTAGAAACCAGGAGAGCGTGAGTTCTAGTGCTACCCTAGACATGAAATCTGGCTGGGTATCTTTGGGTCATAACTTTCTCTCAACTCAACTCAACTCACTGGGTAACTGTTGCAGGGAAAATAAAAGGAGGAAGGAGTATCAAGTAAGTATCAAGTTTGTCTCTTTCTAAAACTAATAAAGGTGGGATATAAATAAAATAAGTAATAAGTCAAAGCTTTCTTGTAGAAGTCCATCAACACATGGTAAGTCCCTACATAACTCAGAACCTAGATTGAATGCTAGGTTCTAGGTCGGGTGTCTTCAAACTTGACAGCTTTAAAGACTTGTGGACTTCAACTCCCAAAATTCCTCCTCCAGTGATGTTAGCTCAGGAATTCTGGCAGCTGAAGTCCACAAGTCTTAAACTTGCCAAGTTTG